AGTAAATAAACAAAATTCATGATTTTATTTTTATGGTTGACTCTTTAGTTCTTGTGGAATTTGTTTATGTGCAATAGGAATCCTAACTGCTCCCTGAAAATAGGAAGCCAATTCTCTCAGCCACAGTTATTGGCTAGTCCCACACTGTACTCATTGATCTGAAATGCCCCTTTCTTAACATATTAAATGCCCATTCATTGTGAGTATATTTAAAAATCTCTATTCTTTGCCAGTTATCTGGATATTCCTGTTCTAATCCTGGTTTTTGAAACATTTTCCCATTCTTTTTCAAAGTATTTTATTTATTATTTTTATTTTATGTGTATGAGTGTTATGCCTGCATGTTTTTTAAAAAATAATTTTGCCTTTTCTTTAAAAAAATTTTGTATTTATTTGTGTGAATGTGCATGTGGTTGCAGTTGCCCATAGAGGCCAGAAGAGGGCATAGGATTCCCCTGGAACTGGAGTTACAGGCAGTGAGCCAAGGAGCTTGTTTTGGGACCCCAACTGTGCATGTTCTTAACCATTTCTCCACCTGAGCCATTTCTCCACCTGAGCCATTTCTCCACCTGAGCCATTTCTCCACCTGAGCCATTTCTCCAACTCCTATTTTTGCCTTTGTTCTTACAATTTATAGAGTTTCAAAATTTACATATTCATTGGGATTTTGATTTAAATTGTATTAAATTGAACTAAACTTTGTGGAATTTTTGTTTTGTTTTTTATTTGTGGTGCTGGGGATCAAACCTGGAGCCTTGTTAATACCAGGCAAGCACTCTACCACAGCCCTCTGGTTATTTACTTATTTTGGATTTCATTGTTTTAATCACATAGGTCTTTAATTTATAAATTGATATTTTGTAATAATGTGAATGAAATTTGTTTATATTATAATCTAATTTGTTGCCATTAGCTTTCATAATGGTGTTAATTTATGTGTATTGCTGTTGTATTCAGTGGTCTTACTGAACTCATTAATTCTGGTAAGTTTTTCAGTTGATTGGTTTGTATTTTCTGGGTAAACAATCACATCATCAGAAAACTGGATTTTTTTTTCTTTCTAGTAATTATAGATATTACCACTTAAAAATTGTATTACATTTATGTAGTTATAGTGGGGAGGGGCACTCGGGTGTCATAGCATATGTATGGAGGTAAGAGGACAACTTGCAGGAGGTAGTCTTCCCTTCCACCATGTGGGTGCTGGGGATTGAACTCAGGTCATCAGGCTTGAAGGCAAGCACCATTACCCTACAGCCATCTCACTGGTCCATACTACCACATTTTATAGTGTTGTTCCATTGCCTGAGACCACCAGGACAATACTGCGTAGCATGGTGAGAAAAGGTAGCTTTACCTTGTTCCTTGTTAAATGAGAAAGTTTATGTCTCTTGTTAAATATAAAGCTTATTGTTAACTAAATCACTTCAGAAAGTTTACTTTTCATTTGTGGTTTATTAAGACTTTTGTTGGCGAACGTGTTATTTTGTCTGATTTTTAACTCCAGAATAGGTGTCCTTAGGAAGATGTTCTTTTAATGTGATGAATTAAATCAACGTGTTTCCTTACATTGAACCAATTTTTTTTTGGGGGGGGGGCCCTATAGCCCCAGCTGGCCTGGAACTTGCTATAAGGACCAGGTTGGTCTCTATCTCACAGAGATCCACCTGCCTCTGCCTCCCAACTGCTAGGAGTACCAAGCTTGGCCTCAACCAGTTTTTGATTCCCAGGAGGAAAAACTCTACTTGATTCTAATACACTATTCATTTAATTCCTAGTTAGGCTCAATTTTGAAATATTTTAATTAGGCTATTATCCACAATAGTATTATCAATTTAGTATAAAATATATATGATTTTTGTTAGGCTTTTGTTTTATAATAATCTATTAGTAATCTTTAATTTTTTTGGAACATGGTAATATCATCCTCCTTCATATTTGAGGGAGTGATTGATCACCCCAACCCCACAGATAATACATCGCCTTATAAGTTTTAAACTACTTCA